CCTCAGAGAAAGGAGGCCCCCCCCCCCACCCGGTGAACATATGGCGGGGTTTTATCCTCGTCCTCTCAGCCAGAAGTGATGTAATTTGTTGGCGTGTTGCGTCGTCTCAAACGAGGCCGGCGGGAAGGACAGCCAGCAGCTCGGCCTCTGGCAGAGCGAGGAGCAGAGATTGATTCACGCCGAGTCTGAAGGAACAAACATTTATTATGAAACCAGGACCGCACCTCCGCTCCTGCTGGGACGGCTCAGAGGACGTCCCAGCAGGAGGACAGGAAACACCTCAGGTATGGAGCGAGAACGGTAAATAAAGAGCCTCTGGAGTGAGTCATGATGGTGTTGATCCGGTCCACAGTGGTGAAGAAGTGGACCTGAAAGACAAAGTTCTGGGTTTACTGCTCCGTTTAATTCCAAGGATCAAACTGTCTGATAATCTGTCAAATCTGACCTTTTTTGCATCGAGCAGATGAAGCAGATGATGATGATGATGATGATGAAGCTGATGATGATGATGATGATGATGTCACTGAGGAATAAATCATCTCTTCATCTGATGAACATCTGCTTCATGAAGGCTCCTCAGTCAGCAGAAACCTGGAGAACAGGTCCAACGGTTCCAGACGTTTGTTTATTTGTTGTTTTTTTCTGATGTTTTATGTTTTTTACGAGGCTCCAGTTTGTGGCGCGGACATTTCCATTTCCTGTACGGTGCTTTGAGGAAGGTCGGTGTAATTTCCCACACAATGAGGCTGGTGCTGCAGCGCCCTGACACCAGCAGCCGCTCTGCATATCAAAACCAGCGGCGCTTCCACGGCTGAACTCATCTCACGTCTCATCTGAAGCCGGCATCCGAGCATCAGTTTAAAACACGGAGCTAAAACCTCTGATTGGCTTCAGATATGATGAGATCAGCGTAGGTCTTATTGTGCTGCTGGAAATGTATTCCATCAGGTTTCAAGCCTGTTGCATTGATTTCAGCGCTGCTCGCTCTGAACGAGCAGTCTTTTATGTTTCAGCTCGTGCATTAGCCTGTTGGGCTCATTGACATTCAGGCCTTTGAAGACGGAGGAAAGAAGCTTCAACTAAASCTGAGAACAGGTGACGAGACGGAGACAAAAACCTGTTTTTACTCTTTAAACATGAGAAACAACAGTTTGGTTTCACCAAAACTTTAAGAACTCAGTCCAATCTTTCAGTTTTTGGAGAGAGAAAACAGGAAGTACGCTCTGTCAGTCCGGCCACGCCCACTCACACCTGTTCACTGTCTCATTAAGCTCAGTGTCTCTGGTGTTTAAATCAGGCAGGTTGTTGGTTTAACYTCTCGTCTGCTTCAGACTGATTCTCACTTCATGTCAGGTTTTTTTTTTTTGCTTTAGTTTCTAATAAAGTTTAGTTGAACCTCAATAAACTGACAGAACACAAACATTGTGTTACAACAACAACATCAGAACCTGAGTCACAACCTCACTGGTGGTGTCACGTGCACGCCTCAGTGTCACAAGGTGGGTGCTCAGTCCAGTTCTGAGCAGAACCAGCAGAGCCGTTAAAAGGTCCGATCTGAGCGCCTCCACTTCATCCTAATGTAGCTTTTAGCTGATGCTAATAGATGACAGACACGGTAATGGACCTTTGTCCCGGCCTGCTGAGTGTGGCTTCAGGCTGCACAACAATCAGCCTAATTAATAATGATTAGTCCTCCCTCAAACACCAACACAAAATCTGCAAACGGAACAATAAATCCGGCTCCTAATCGTGGCTTTTACAAGCGAGCCGAACCGATCCGGACTAATCGTTGACAAACAGCCGACGAGTCGTCGTTACCACTCTGTGAAGCGAGGATAAACCCGAGCAAACAGAAGCCAGCGTCAACGCTTCAGGAAGCGCAAACACACACACACACACACACACACACACACACACACACACAC